CTGTGAAGTTTGTGCTGCCCCTACCTTGATGATGTATCGACGCCGAAGCTGCTTACCTTCATGCTAGCTTTATTCTCTTGTGAGCTGTTTCGGTATTGTGGAGAGGGATCTAGGGAGATAGCCTTGCTTCACATACCCAGATAAGACTTTGTTTTTAATGTGCTTTCTTAAAGACATAGTGCTTTTTAAATGTTTTAAAGTAAATTATATTTTTACACAAGACGCCTCTGTCAGAATCATTTCAGTCTCAGTGTGTTTACTCATGAGCTGGTTCACGGTCCGGGGGACCCCTCAACCCCATTTCGTCACAATAAGGCAGGCAGATGTTGGAAGAAACAACCTTCTGGGTTCTGCTCCAAGTGGGGAAACAGACACTGGAAACATGGAGACTGCTTGGAAAGATGGTTTAATGGTGGACAGGATCACATGGCTTGAGTTCCTGAATAGAAAAGGGGCTGATACAGAAAATCCTCGGGTTTTTATGCTCTCTCTGGCTCTGCATTTCTTGGGGCCCGAAAGAGTATCCTGATTGGTTGTCAGACTCCCAGGGGGTGGGGCCTTGCTGGCTGATGGTCACATGTGCTTCCCAGGTCACATGTGGTGAGTTTCTGCTGCTATTGTGTAGAGGGCTAATCCTATCTTTGTTGATCTTTGGCAATTCCTACTATGGCTCTGCTGAAGGAGGCAGATCTTTGTTACGTAGAATAGACTGGCCCAGGCCTTAATGGCCCATTGACAAAGGGTGGGGGGCAGGAAGGTGGGAGCTGCTTCAAACCATGCTTCTCCATTTCTCATCCAGGGAAATATAATATTCTGCCTTTTTCATATTTCCTAAAATATTTCACTCTTCCAGGAGAGGGTGGGTGCTAACTTCCTACACAGACATCCAGCAACTGCTGCATATGCACCCGCCCCGTTTCTGCAAAGGCAGATTCCCCCCACCCCCACCCCGCAGGGCGATCCAAAAAGAGGAAGGGAATGGTGCCAGAAAGGCCATTTGCGGATGATCTGGTTGTTACCCTAACACAGCCGATGGAATCAATAATTCAGATGGTACGGTGTCAGGATTTAGATTGAATCAGAAAAAAAACCAAGATGATAGTTAAAAATATGACAGTTGATCAAAAGAAGGAACTGGAAAGGAAGGCAGGCTTTGAAATAGTATCAAAAGTGAGATATCTAGGAGTTCAAGTTGCAGATTCAGATATAAAACTGTTTCAAAATAATTACGAGGTGTTGTGGCGAAAGGTACAAAAGGATATGGAAACCTGGAAAAAACTGATCCTAAGAAATTGTCATGTATGTATCCTAATGTGCAACCGAAGTGCTGGAGATGCGATTGTTTAGATGCTACGTATTATCATATATGGTGGACATGCAAGAAAGTGAAGGCTTTTTGGATAAAAATTTGGTGGGTTATGCAAAATGTTTTAAAGGAAAAAAATTCAATTTTCTCCTCATTTGTTCTTATTGGGTATAGTTAAGGGTTTTTCAGTGGGTGAAACAAAATTGATATTGTATATGGTGACAGCAGCTAGGTTACTGATTGGTCAATATTGGAAAAGGGATGATATGCCTACAATTCAAGAATGGACTTTGAAGATGGCCAGTTTCGCAGAAATGGCGAAGATATCAGCATACTTAAAAGACCGGACTCAAGAGACTTATGTATGGGAATCGAAGAATTGGATAGATTATGTGCAGAATAAATACCAAACCAAGAAGTACCAGATAGTTTTTAGCTAAATGTTGTGTAGAAATGTATAGTTTATAGGGGCGAAATAGTCTATTGTGATGTAAAAATTTATAGTGCACAGGGAGGGGAATAGAGGGGTGGTAAAGTGTGACATAATATAATGTGGATGGATTTCACCTTGGGGAAGTCATGGGGAGGGATGGGGGGGGAAATGGGGGAAAAATTTGTTGTTTGTAAAACTTTTTCAATAAAAAAAAAAAGAAAAATAAACAGTCTTTACTTGTAGTAAAAAACAAACTTGGCTTCTCAAAACAAAGAGAACACTTCTTCAAACAATCACGGTTCAAGACAAAACATAGTTTGCTTACAATTCCAGTTCTCTTCAGTAACACAGACACAGTTCCTTCCAGCAGTTCAACCTTCAATAGCAGGAGCAGAAGTGAATGAACGTCCTGCCTTCTTTTATGTCTGCTTAGCACAGCCAATTAGTCATCTTTGTAGCAGTTAAAGTTACAGAACATAGTTTTCTATATATTACCTACCCAACCGTAGGATAAGCATCCAACATGGAGGATTGGGGGAGGGGAATGCGTGGCCCTCCGGGATGGAGAGCGGGGCAAGAGAAGGCTCCGAGGTTCGCTTGGGCAGTCAAGCCAGATGGTGGAGGAAAACTCATAGCGTTGGGGCTTCAGAAGGGCAGAATGGGCTTCAGAATGTGCAGCTCCTGGCTCTAAGAGTGAGTGACGTGAGTGACATGAAGTTGGCCACGCCCACCAAGCCAAGGAGAGGATACAGCTGACTCACCCATTCCAGGAGAACCTCGAGAATGTCTTGCATCATAAAGAAGTCTCCAACCTCCGGGTGATACAGCAGCTGAGGAAGAAGAGTAGAGATACGGAGCATTAGCCAAGCCAAGGAAGGGAACTGCCCCAAGAGCCTCGACTAAAGATGCCACTTTCAGCCATTACGGGGAGAGGAAAAGAAAATACAGTCCTCGGTTAGTGACCCCTGAAAGTCACAATGGCACTGACAAAAGGGACATGTCCATTTTTCAGACTTAGGACCATTGTAGCATCCTAATGGTCATGTGATCAAAATTTGGGTACTTGCCGGTCCATATTTATGACGGTTGCAGTGTTTCGAGGTTACATGATCCCTTTTGTGACCGTCTGATAAGCCAAGTCAATGGGGAAACCAGATTAACTAATTCACCAGATTGACTATTGTAAGAACTGCACTGCAGCGATTCACTTAACAACTGTGGCAAAGAAGGTCGAACAATGAGGCAAAACTTGCTTAAGAACTGTTTCGTTTAGCAACAGAAATTTGGGGCTCAGTTGTGGTCGTAAACCGAGGACAACTTTTAGACGGAAATCACTGAAAGATCTGGTTTATCCTAAGTATTCGACCACGGCATTGGCTTAAGGACTGCTGAAGTCACTTAGTGACCACTGGAGGTTCTATGACGGTCATATGTCGCGGACTACAGTATGGCATTAGGTAATGTAAATGAGAGTTGTAAGAATACAAAACTGCCTATAATACAAAGAGTAAAAAGAAATTGTGGTCATTGAGCCTTCCTTCCTTCCTTCCTTCCTTCCTTCCTTCCTTCCTTCCTTCCTTCCTTCCTTCCTTCCTTCCTTCCCTCCCTCCCTTCTTTTCCCTCCCCCCTCCCTCCCCCCAACAACTTCTGGAGGGAAGCCCTCCCACCGATTAACAGACTAGCAGAAGACCTTGGAGACCCCCTGCTCAAGCAGCAGATCCTCTACAACAGGCACCCTCAAACTACGGCCCACGGGCAAAGAATACGGCCCGCGGAGTGGTGTGATTAAGCCCCGCCCCTTGCCCCGCCCCTCACTGCCTTATCTTCCAGGGAGCCAGCTGCAAGGCCAGCTGAGGGCCAGCTGAGGGCTGATCTCACCGGTGCAGCCTTGAGAAGCAGCTGTGGGCTTGTAAAGTACTGCTTTAAATTAAAAGACTTTGAAAACAATTTAAACGGGGCTTAGAAGGAGAAAGGCAAAAAAAATGAATTGGCCCCCTGTTTAAAACGTTTGAGGACCCCTGCTCTACAACGTCAGACAAACGGCTGTCCAGAATATTGGGGTGCATCCCAAGGTCTCCTCACCTCCGAGAAGAAAACCTTCCCGATGGTCTTCTCTCTTAGATCGGAACGGGGCAGGTAGGTGTTGGCCTCTCTGAACATCACCTTCAGCTCACGTTTAGAGAAGCTGAATAAGTTCCCAAAAGAGCAAATACGGAGAGCTCAGACGAGATCTGCTGGTTAGGGAGAAGAAAATCACCAAGCTAGAGATATCATGATCTGAATTCAACTACTCAATGAATTACTCCATTTAGAGAATTTCTCAACCTCCCTCTCACCTCCCACTCTCTTTTTCACTCTCCCCTTCCCTCCCTCTCTTCTCCTCTAACCTTTCCTCTCTCTCACTTTTGTCTTCTGGGTCTCCCTCCCTCCCTCTTTCTCTCCCTCTCCCCTCCCTCTCCTCTCTCTCTCACACACCCCTTCTCTCTCTCTCCCCCCTCCTCCCTCCCTCTCTCCCCCATCTCTCTATTTCTCTTTCTTCTCCATCTCTCTCTCTCTCTCTCTTTCTCCCATAAAGATGGCCTGGGTACCATCTGCAGAATTCTAATTTTATGGAAAATGCTTAGAAAGTTCAACAACAACTGTGTTGTGCTGATCTGAAACAGGGGTAAGCTTGCGGATGATCCTGGGGCCCTTCTAGAGAGCTGGAGAAGTGCCAGAGGAGGTGGAAGAGAAGGAAGGTTGCCCCTCTCTTCAGCTTCACCAAACCAGGTGTCCGCCTAGAAAATCTACAACACCACACAGCCTATCTAGCAAAATGCCCTAGATTGGTCATCTAGATTGGTGTTGCTTGATCTCAGACACTTTAAGATGTGTGGACTTCAACTCTGCTGGCCTGAGAACTCCAGAAGGAGCTGCTGAGATTGAACAACACTGGTCTAGATCAGGATTTCTCAACCTTGGCAACTTTAAGAGGGGAGGACTTCAACTCCCAGAACTCTCCAGCCAGCATACTGGAGTTGGGGTCCCCATCTTTGGGGCAACCATGACCTGGATGATTGATCATCTCCATGGACAGTGAACTGGGAATAGGTGGGCTCTGAACTTGTGTGTTCTCCTTCAAGAAGCTTCTGCATGGCTATTCTGCTATTGGAGGGACTAACCTGTCTCTCTTCCTTCGTAGGACGACATCGAACTGAGGAATACCTCCATCACCATTTTCGGCATGCTCCTGAAAGGACTGAAGGAGATACAGAATGGCCAAAAACATCCTGAACAGCCTTGTTCCCCTACTCATACAACTGTCAAATGATCGGACAAAAGAGGTGAGTTGAAGGGCTGCGTAACCTGAGTCCTGCTCTGATCCTGCTACCTTCACAGAGACCACTCTGTACCCCCATCTTCACTCAGAGCAACGTGGTTGTACCACGTGGACACTCTGGAGAATGCAAAGAGATTCTGGACAATCCTGAAGTTGTGGGGTCCTTGGTGCTCCCTGAACTTGGTTGTTTCCTTGAAGTCCCTTCATGACCCAAGTAGGTGACAGCATCTCCCCCTTTCCTCCCTCGGCCAGGTCTCCAGGAAGACCCTCGACTCCTGCGTGTCCTTTATGAACTGGGGGGGCTTTCCCAGCAACTTGTTTGACTATGAAATGTACACCAGTCTCCATAGCATGTACTCCAACATCTGCTACGTGGTTGTAAGTAGGAGCCAAGCTGGCCTGTTTTCTTCCAGATTAGAGTATACTAAGCGTTTATTTCTTTATTTTGTCCTGCCATTCTTATTTTTATAAAGAGTTCAAGATGGTGGGCATCCCTAATACTTCTTCTTTTCTTCACAACAGCCCTGTGAGGTGGGTTGCCCTGAGAGAGAGGGACTGCACCAAAGTCACCCAGTGGCCATCCTGACTAAGGCGGGACTAGAACTCACCAGCTCCTGGTTTGTTGCCTGATGCCTTAACCACTAGACTAAACTGACAAGAGGGATTCTTCTTGGATTTTTGCTCTCTCAGTACCAGCAGAAGTTCTATGTGCAACGGTTTTTCAGGCAGTTTCTCCCCTCTTTCTTAAGGGTATGGCTGCCGTTGTTAAGTTAGTCACATGGTTGTTAAGTGAATCTGGCTTCCTCCCGGATTTTGCTCATCCGAAGGTCGCAAAAAGTGATCTTTGACCCCCAAGACACTGTAAGCGTCATAAGTACAAGTCGGTTTGCCAAGCATCCGGATTTTGATCTTGGGGATGTGGCAACGCTTGTAGGTGTGAGAATCAGTCGTAAGTCACTTTTTTCAGTGCCATTGTAACTTTGAATGGTCACTAAATGAACTGTTATAAGTCGAGGACTACCTGCCCTATATCCCTCTCTTGTATAGGCAACCCCACAGCAGTGGTTTTTTCTCTGGAAATATTTCCAGCTGGCCTCCCATTCTAGTATTAACTGGATTCAAGGCTGTTTAGGTTGTTTCCCAAGATGATGGTTGTTTGCACAGTCCTAGAACATAAAATAATACAGTTGGAAGGGACCCTAGAGGTCTTCTAGTCCAAGCCCCTGCTAAAGCAGGAGACCCTCTTCCATTTCAGAGCAGTGGCTGTCCAATCTCTTCTTTAAGGCCTCCAGTGAGGCCTGGAGAGAAAAACATAGGAAGAACGGCTACCCCTCGTCCTTCTTTTTATTAGACAGACCCAATCCCTGGAACCATCCCGTAAAGTCCCAAAGCGACTCTTCCAAGTGGAAACCAATGAATTGCGCGTTTTTTTTCCTGAATCAGTCGATTTAGCCGTCCCTGTTAACCCCACCAACGTTTTCTTTTTATGCGCCTAGGCTGCTGCGCACAATACATGCAACCGGATGTGGTGACTTCCCTACAGATTGAAGAGGTTTTCATTGGTGAGTTTCAAAGTTCCCTCGCTTGAACTGGTGACTTGTTCTCCGGAAGCTCTGTCACTGATGAGGGTTGGTTCTCACGGTTGATCCCGGAAATCATTTGTTTTCTGGATTCGTTTCAGGTCTCCGGGATCTGCAAGGCGATTGTGAAGCCTCGGTGACTCAGGCTGCAGCTGACTCAATGGAAGAAATCTTTCGGCAGTGTGGCCATCGGATCAATCCGGATCTTATTAGTAGTCAACTCCTCTCCAAGGTCATCAGGAGGATCTCCGAGACCAAGCAATAATAGTTAATAGCGTAATAGTTTTCTTTATTGTCATGGCATCTCATAGAATGAAATTAAGTGCCATCCTCACTGTACTGTATATTATCCTTTTTAAAAACCCTATGAAAATAAAACAAAAACACACCTCCTTCACACTGTATGCAATTGAATTGAAAACCCCTGATATTGCATTAATATTGCACTCTACATAGAATTGTATAGTTACTGCTCTGGAATAGAAGCAGTTTTTCAGCCTCTTTGTCCTTGTTTTTATTGTCCTGTACCGTCTGCCAGATGGTAATAGTTCAAAAAAAGGGGGTCCCAGAATGAAATGGGCCCTTAAGGATGTTTTGAACTTTCACCTGCCTTCCAGCTGGTCTTTGGGGAAAGCGAGGAAGCGCGAAGAGAATTCTTACATCGCGAAGGACCACGAAGGAACATCGTGGAAACAGGACCTGGCAGGGAGATTGTGGAAACAGGCCCTGGAGATAGACAGAACAATTTAATGTCAGAGAGAGGAGAAGGTTCCACGAGAAGGTCACAGAGCCACAGGTGCTATTGGAGAAGGGTGGTAGCAACCATCAACCATCGATGATATCTGGAACATCTCCACTCTTAGTCGTCTTCCAGCAGAAACAGGAACGCCTAGAGTAGGGCAGATGCAGAGAGCCAAGCACTCCCATGGGGGGAGATCTAATGTCCTCCAAAAAGATGCTCATTATTATCCACATAGATGGAGCATTGAATAAAAGCCTTCAGGAAAACCTCTGGATCCCAAAGGCGTCTTCCCATGGGCCCTGATCTCCTTTGGAAAGCATGCGACGTTTCTCAACTTAGTTTGTTAAGCCAGAAGGTGGCCGAGCACTGGTCCCCTCCTCATATCTGTTCCTGGCAGTCCTTTCAACTTTCAGCCCTGAATGAGCCCAGCCTTATAGGTTGTAAGTTGCACCGGTCATAAACCGGGTCACCCTGGGTCCATGATCGATTTAATGACCTTTGAATAGATTAAGGGAGTTGTTCAAAAGTACAGACGTTGTAAATAATCATATATTCATCTGCCTCTCCTAGGGGAAATTGTTTCTAAGACTAGAATTAAAATGACCACAATTGAGCCCAAAATTCCTGTTGCTAAGTGAGACATTTTTAAGTAAGTTTTGTCCCATTTTACCAACCATTCTTAAATTAATTGCTGCAGTTGTTAAATCAGTAACAAGGTTGTTAAGTGAATTGGCTTTGCTGGTCAGACGGTTGCAGAAGGGGATCATGTGACCCCGGGACACTGCAACCGTCATAAGTCCATGCCAGTTGCCAAGCATCTTGAGTTTTGATCATCTGACCGTGGGGATATTTCAAAATGGTCATCCCCACTGTTTTTACTGTCTTCACTTCAAAGCGTCACTAAATGAATGGTTGTAAGTCGAGTACTGCCTGATACGTAACCCAGGTGGTCCTCAACCTACGACCACAATGGAGCCAAACATTTCTGTGCCTAAGTCAGATATTTGTTATGTGAGTTTTGCCTCATTTTACGACCTTTCCAGCCACTGAATCACTGCCCTTGTTAAATTAGTCATACCATCGTTAAGCGAATCCAGCTTCCCCATTGACTCGGTTTATCAGAAAGTGACGAAAGTTGATAGCATGACCCAGGGACACTGCGACCGTCGTAAATGTGAATCAGTGGCCAAGTGTCTGGATCTGGATCGCGTGACCGTGGGAAATGCTGTGGAAAACGATCGTAAGTCACTTTTTCTGTGCTGTTGTAACTTTGAATGGTCACTAAATGAACTGTTGTAAGTCGAGGACTACCTTACCCCAAGGCGGCCTGGGTTTCCTTTCTTTTCGTTCTCCACTTTCTGCCAAGTCTTTCCAAATTCTTCCAGCAGATGGTGACATAATCTTACGAGTCTTCCCTCAGCCAAGTTCTGTAAAAAATAATAACCAGAATTTGGTTTGGAATTTTGGAATTTTCTTATATATACCTTCTCTGAACTTTCTGAACATGTCCCGGTCAGTTTCTCAGCATGATCGGTTTTTCTTTGCCTCCTTCCAGGATTTCTTTCTTTCTTTTTCTTAAATCTACCTCTTCCCCTACTTCCTGGTTGTCAGTCTCTCATGCCTTGAAGACTTCCTGACCATGCTAGGATTTTAGAAGAGCAGAAAAAGGCAGATGGGTGCTTGTATCTGCTGAAAAAGAGACCACTTGGAAACCAAATTATATTTCAGAAAAACTGCTCGGAAGGGAATGTTGGGAGTGCCTCCTAGGACAATTCCTACATCAGTTTAGGAGACATAATAGGAAGCCTCCTTCAATTTCTCCCTAATTCCTTCTCTGTCGGTGCTAATGAAAGACAAAGAGAAGGAAATGAATGGTTAATGTTGATTGAAGGAAGGCAAATCTATGCGTCCCAGGATAATGTCTATGGAGACTCTCAGCCATCCAAGTCATGGTTGTCCCAAAGGTGCCTTTTCAAGAGGCAACTGGACACTCTTGGTTTTTCTTTGAAGACGTTTTGCTTCTCATCCAACAGAACTGAAGAAGCTTCTTGGATGAGAAGCGAAATGTCTTCCAAGGAAAACCAGAAAGTCCAGTTCCCTCTGGAAAAAGCAGCTTTGGGAGTCCCAGGATAATGTTGCAAGGTCCGATCTGGGTCAGTCTTCTCAGCTTTTGGACCTGTGCTAGAGCCCATCTTCAGGGAACTTCTCTCTACTGGAATATGGGCTATTCTACGCTTCATTTTTATGTGGTGCCTTCCTATTCAGTGGTGTGTGGATGGCCGGCGATTGGCTGTTGTTTCCTTGTGCTGCCGAGCCCTCGGCTCCTAAGTACCTGATAAGCTGGTGGTAAATCAGCCCTCCAATTGACTGGAAGGAACCTTGGAGGTCTTCTAGTCCAGCCCGTTGGTCAAGCGCAGGAGAACCTATACCATTTCAGATAACTGACTGTCTAGTCTCTTCTTAAATGGATGGAGACTCATCAAGGAGAGAAACAACCTAGAACTAAGGAGAGATTTCCCGACAGTTAGAACATTCAACCAGTGGGACAACTGGCCTCCAGAAGTCGAAGCTGAAGTTGAAACTCCAACACTGGAAGATTTTAAGAAGAGATTGGACCACCATTTGTCTGAGATGATTGTAGGGTCACCTGCCTGAGCTTGGGGTTGGACTAGAAGACCTCCAAGGTCCCTTCCAAGTCTCTTATTCTGAAATAATTGGAGAATTCTACTCAGGTCAAAGTTCAACTGATTAAGACAATAGCTGTGACTCAAGGAAACAGCAGATAACTATGTTCAGTGAGGCCTTCAAAATACTCAAAGACATTATTAATAGGGTATATCTCTCACAGACGCTGGGACCCTGAGCGTAACACGATCTCATATTGTTGTTTGACTTATTAGCATTTATTTCATGTCTGAAGTCTCTTCCAGTAATGAAACTATTTTTGTCCAATCCAGAAAACGTTCAGAAAGTGAATGGCAGCTTAAATCTCTGGAGAAACAGGAGACACCTTGATCTGCCATGTAACCCCCGTGAGAAAGAAGGAATGGTTAGGTGCAAAACTGACTGTAGGGAGATCTGATGCCATGAAGGTTGTTCAAAGCTGAAGAGGTCAAGAAACTCGAAATTTAAAGAGCTGCCGGTGTTTAAAGCAACTGGAGCAGACTCAGCTCTGAAACCAGAAGCTGCATTGAATCACCAAAATCGCCCCTTTCAAAACAAACTTTCTTTCTTTCTTCATCTAAGTGAAAGGATTGTCCATCTCACAAAGGAAGAGATTCTGGATGGTCTGCAAGAAAACTGAAATGCAGGAAACTCTTGACTTGCCATCACAATCTGGGCCAAAATGTAGGTTGCTAAGCGAGATGGTTCTTAAGTGAGTTTTGCTCCATTTTACAACCTTTCTTGCCACCGTTGTTAAGTGAATCGTTGTCTAGTCCAAGGGGCTGGACTAGAAGACCTCCAAGATTCCTTCCAGCTCATTCTATTCTATTCTATTCTATTCTATTCTATTCTATTCTATTCTATTCTATTCTATTCTATTCTATTCTAAGTTAGTCACACGGTTGGGAACTGAATCTGGCTTCTTCATCATCTTTGCTGGTCAGAAAGTCAGAAAAGGGGGTCATGTGACCTTGGGACACTGCAACCGTCATAAGTACATGCCAGTTTCCAAGCCTGCAATGGTCCCTTTTCCCTTTTTTTTTTAAAAAAAAAAACTGTTTGTTTTTTTCACAAAAACTTTGTTTTCAACTGCAGCTTTTATATCGTTGGAGAGTTTTACCAAAACTACTACAACACCCCAGCGATGATGGGCAGTGCAGAAACTGGATCCCCCCAAAAATCATATATACAAGTAGTCCTCGATTTGCGGCCACAACTGAGCCCAACATTACATTAGTAACATGGTTGTTAAGTGAATCGGGTTTCCCCCTTGACTTTGCTTGCCAGAAGGTCGTAAAAGGGGATCACGTGACTCGTCATAAATGTGAGTCACTTGCCAAAGGTCCGAATTCTGATCATATGATCGTGGAGATGCCAGAATGGTCATAAGTGTGAAAAATACTTTGTTCAGTGCTGTTGTAATTTGAACCATCACTAAAAGAACTGTCATAAGCCAAGGACTCCATAAGAATAGAATAGAATAGAATAGAATAGAATAGAATAGAATAGAATAGAATAGAATTAGAGAGTTGGAAGGGACCTTGGGGGTCTTCTAATCCAACCCTCTGCCCATGCAGGAAACCCTACACCAGTATATCATGTATCCTATATCTCCTATCTCATATCTCATAATAAAAAAATATTAAAAAACCAAGCTCAGTTGCAGACTTAGCCAATCAAAGAACAAAGTAGATCAGCCTTAAACTTGGTTAGGTTCTTTTGAGATCTACCAAGTTGAGGGACACCATCACACGGGGTCATTCCATAGTGACCCCCAGCTTTGCTCCCCATAATGTGGCTAATGTTATCAAGGGGGTTATCCAGGGGACCCTCCATATCCCACCCCTATTATCTTGGGGAGTAAGAGGCCCCTTGGGTCATGACACCAGCTGTCCCCCCTGAGAACACAATGCGCTGATGTCACAGCCCCTGGGGCAGAGATATAAAGGCAAAAGGGAAGAGAGGGGAGCTGTGGAGAGTTGAGGAGAGGAGGATAGTTGAGCTCAGTTGAGTTGTGTTGAGCAGAGCAGAGCAGAGCGGAGTGGTCTACTTTGTCAAAGGCCTTGCTGAAGTCTAAGTAGAGTATGTCC